GAGAGAGGCGAGTGCACGCACTCGGCCTTTGGGAAGAGGGAATCCCTGAGCTCCTAGAAAGTCCAGAAGGATGGAGGATATTTCTAGCCAAAAGGCGACAAGCCTGGCATTTCCCTTGTTTATTTAATCAGCTAGATTTGATTTCGCGTTGGATCTTCACCTTATGCCAGAAAATTCCAGGAGCTTTGAGGGCAGTAGGATTTTGCTTCTCCTGCTACTCAGAGGAGAACCAGAGAGTACAAACTGATTTCCTAAAAAGAATGAAAACGTCTTCCACGTAGCTCTCCAGTTTGCGAATCAGCACTGCTGCCAGGTTATTGAGGAGGCCGATCCTGCCTCACCCACCGAGGACAGGAGCATCACGGAGGCCTCCCTAACCCCAATGGGGCCTCTTAACACCCAGGGATCTGAGTAAACCGCATATATGTATTTTAATTCAGGTGAAAATAATCTAGAGAAATGGCATTAATGAAGCCTGCCCCCAAATCAACCCACCATTAAAAAAAAATGATTATGACTCTAACGCCAGCTTGTTGCAAAACAGGCAAAAGAAACACCTCAGCGAATTAAAAATGGCAAAAGGTAGAAAACAAAACCGACCCACAGTTTTAGCTCGAATCGTTTTCAGCTTTCTTTGGATCTTCTAGTGCCATCTCTCCTTCAATGTCAACTAGTCTCAGAAAGAGTAACGCTCATGCTAGACAGATATCATTTCTACACTGATATATTTTCAAAAACATGTACGCGAACTATGTTTCTGATTCGAAGACTTCCGGAGAAAATATGAAACTTGGCACAGATCAGTCAGTGCTTGACACAAAGCAAATAAATGCCTTCTAATGAGACTATTCCGAATTTAGTTATAACCTCTTTGTGCGGGTACCAGGCAGATATTTTAGAAAGAGACGTGGAAAGTTGATCTGGAATCCTGGATTCCAGTGAAACCCTCCAAGGGGCAAGAAGAGTTAATCTCGCACGGGTAGCTCTCATTTGGATAGTTGAGCATCCACTGAGAGGCAGCATCTTTGCGTCTTCTCAAAATCTTCCTTCTTTGGGTTCCTCCTTTGCTTCTGAACTTCGCAAGCTCCTGGTAGCGGCGACACTAGCCAGCCTGGCAGTGACCTCTAGCGGTCTCCTAGGAATCGGATACTTCTCAGGAGGTGACACACCTTCAGAACAGAAATTTCTGCATCGGTGACCGTTTCATAAAGGGCTGGAAAATGACATATTTAGATCTTCTCGTTAGCTTTATAATGCCAGATATGTATTTATAGGGGTATGTTTAAGACGGTTTTAAGAGAGTTATCATTTCATCTCATAAATCAGGGGGGGGAAAGCCCCTATAGCTTTAAAAGTAGACCCAGAGGAAACACAATCGCTTGCAAGTTTACATAATGCGTTTGCAGTTACACATAAGTAACTTAGGATAATGCGCCGAGTTACTCTGTAGAAGAAATAGATGGCTCTATTAAGTTGAATAATGTGAGTGATAATGCAGTCGATGGAAAGTCATATGTGGTTGTTTCTGTTCCATAATGAGCTGACAACTCCTTACACACTGAATTGTGTTCTGTGTGAAAACAAGTCCCATCCCTGTGTTGAATGCACTAAAATTCTCTGCTGAGTTTTTAATCAGCAATAATGGACACAGAATGCATGTTCAGAGAAGCAGTTTTCTCAAAGCTTTCTATAATTATTTTTCGCTAACTTCATTTTAAAGGCTAATGAGTATGTAGTTAGGCTCGGAATCACACTCGTTTCTAAGAAATATTACTTCAGGGAGGGAGGTGGCTAAGGGCATTATTTAAACACTAAGTTAAGTCTTCCATCCCAAGGGGAATCTTCCGTTTAATGCGCTGTTCAGGAAGTTATGTGTCAGATGATGGGAGTGAAATCTTATTTGAAGAAGCCTGTGGTGACTGGGTGTGTCTCTTTAACCCTTTTGCTGTGGGTACATTGATAATCTGGTTGCGAAATGTAGCTCGGTTTGCTGGAGCTGAGTATGAATTTATAGGAGGTCGGGAGACTGTTTCACCCATCTGTCTGAGAATAGGAGTCTGTGATACTATAGGATAGTTGAACTAGACATATCCCTACTGGGCCTAAATAAGCTAAAATGTGAAGTATATTCTCTCTCTAATCTCCAGGCTCATGTTCCCCCTTGCTGGGGGAGGGGGGTGTTAAGAAGTCCGTGCTCAATATTTGAATGTATGTATCTAAATACAGTCCATTTCAAGTTGATTTGATTTTGCATTAATAGTCGCTCACAGTTTTTTTTCTCGGTGAGCGAACATGCAAAATCTGGACTGGATGCTCGTTGAGCTCCTGGCCCTGTGCTTGACCTAGGAGAGGGCCAGCGGTGAATGGGGTGCCATCCTCCTCTCGATGGACTCACTTGCTCTGAGGCCACGTGTGGCCTCCCGCTTAGGGATTTATGGAAATATAAACAAAGGGGCATCGTTTTCTGCCTCGTCTTCTTACATGAGAGGGAATTTCTTGTTAAATGGATTTCGTGACGCGGCTGACCCCTTACTTGTAAAATGACTGTTTCTGTGTGTATGCCAATTTACTGAAAATATTTTTTTTTTGAAAAAGGTAATTCTAACCGGAGCATAGCAGGCAACTAGTATTTTGGCAAGCAGAGTGGAAGAGCCAGTATTAAGACATGCCTCAGTTCCTTCTCACTCCCTGGCACCCCCAGTGACATGGTTAGGACCAGGGTAGATATCCTATTATAATGCACTAAAATGCCGGACAATCAGATCTGAATATACGCCAGATAAATATCTGAAGTAAGGCTTACAGGGAAAAACAAAAACAAAAACAAAAAACGAAAAACCTGCCAGAGTTGGCTGAATCAGTAAACATTGAGCAGAAATATTTTCATTTTTGTAATCACATTTACTATGCGCAGCCGGTAGCTTCTTGGAAATGACCTTTTAAATGCACAGCTTTATATCCTGGGGGTAACGACTTTCCAGCTTGTTTCAAAGGCTGGTCGGTTTTGCCCTCAGAGCTGGGGGAGGCTTTGCAAGGGATCAGAAGATGCCACCCTCTTTCTGCCAGGCCAGCTGGGGGCACACACCCGCTCGCACACACCCAGAGCAAAGGGGGCCGAGATCCGGGTATAGACATAAGCGTCCTCGGTGTCTGTGGCTGGTGAGCTGCGGGGTACATCAGCTTCGTTCTCTCGGAATCGTTTCTTAAAATGACCTGAAGGAAAAAAAACTATTTTCTTCCTGGAATAACCCTATATAGTAACCGGTTACAGCTAAAACCCTTAAAGAGAGTATTCTTATGACCACATAAGAAATCTAAGATTTTTTATTGGGTAACTTTTCCCCATTTCGCAGCCACTGCCTCTTTGTCCTGATTGAGGTCGCTCCATGACCATCGGAAAAGGCCAGAGCTGGAGCTGACTCAGGTTCTTCCTCGCTCGCTGGGCTCTCGGAAACCCCGCAACGGGCGTTTGCATGTTCCTCGGGACAAAAAGCGGTGGCCGCAGATACTACATCCGATTTCACAAGTACAGACAAAACGGGGAGTCTCTAAGCACTGGGTGTGTTGGGGGTGCGCTGATGCGCATGGACACCTTAGAAACGGGGGCTCTCTCGTCACTCCTGGAGAGCCTCTTGCTCCCACATCTCGGGTTTTTCTAGCAGCCATTAAGCAAAAAAAAAAAGAGGATGCATCTAATACTTTCCTATGACGTACACTGTGGTGTGTCCACCTGAACAGGTTAGTTTGGCCGACTTTTTCCGGAAGCTTCTCTTAGCTGGGCGGACAGCCTTGCCCGCTGTCGTCTCGTCATCCTGGCATCATCCTCCAGCCGCCATCACTCCCGCCAGCGCAGGAGTTTCCACTGAGCCTTTGTCTGTCCCCTGTCGCCCGCCACAGGCTGTAACGAGAACGAGGCGGAGCATCTGGACCGGGACCAGCCGCCCTACCCGCCCTCGCAGAAGACCAAGCGCATGCGCACCTCCTTCAAGCACCACCAGCTCCGGACCATGAAATCCTACTTCGCCATCAACCACAACCCGGACGCCAAGGACCTCAAGCAGCTGGCCCAGAAAACGGGCCTGACCAAGAGGGTTCTGCAGGTAAGACGTCGCCGCCGCCGCCGCCGTCGCGCCCGGCGCCCTTCCCCGTGCCAGGAGAGACAGTTCTCGCCCCTGTCGAGAGTGATCCAGACATTTTCTCTGCTGCGTCACTAGTTGACCTTAGCTGTCCTCCTGGAGGGTGGACCGAGAGGGTGCAGTGGCCACACAGAGACCCAGGACCCTGAACAATGCGGCCACGTTCTCCCTACGGAGAGAGGGCCCTCCAAGGTCGGCCCCGCTGGCCTCGCCGCTCTGCAGGTGCTGGCGACGCCATCTGCGCAGGCCGGGGCTTGAGAGATGGCCTTTCACGGGGGGCTCGGTGCAGGCTTGTGGGGGTCCTGCTGGCGCTGTCTGACCAGCAAACTCTCGGCAGCTCCGCTCGCGCGTTACGACCTTCCAGATTCTTTTTTCCAAGGCCCGAAAAGCCCCAGTTATGGTTAGTGTCTTAGTAACCAATTGGCACAGGTATTTTCCTATTTTAAAGAACCATATTTAGAAGTTCACATGGGGAGTGAGATCAGCTGTCCAGTTTTCCTAAACTCAGCACAGTCGGAGCGTACAAGGAACGAGATTGTCGTGCGTCGCGGTGGGTCACCGGTGACCCTCTGCCGCGTCTCAGCGACACGCAACAGGCGTTTTAAGTCCCGACGCCCTGTTTGCGGCTGCTCGGGGCCTGGAGGCCCTGGGAGTCCTCAATGCCAAGAACCCTGACCACGTGTCTGTCTGGAGAGCAGCCCGAAGTCTGTGCTAGTGACGTGCGTTTCACACGAGTGAGCGCCACTTTGAGAAGCTTCCAGGGCCCCTGCCTCTCTGCTCCGTCTCGAAAGAGAACGGGTCACGCATCAGGGTGTATTTCCCGCCCTCTGTCCCGCAGCCTTCACTTCCGTGGTGTCCCCACTTGCCCCCTTCTGTTGTCCCAAGTGCCACTGGTTCGTGCTGGGGGCGGGGCGCATGCACTTGAGACAAGATGTCTATACGGCGGCCCGGATGACTCTGCTCTTAAAAATAAGAAAAAGGCCCTTCTCTCCCAAGAACAGGC